GACCTTCAGCCTACAGAGAGCCAGAGCAGGCCACCAACCTCTTCCAGGCCTGATTCTCAGCACAAATGTAAAGAGGCACAAGAACAGCCTGTACTTGCGGCAAACCCTTGAACACATGGGTGGAATGCCACTTACATAATCTGGCAAGCTACGATTGTGCTGTGTAATATAAAATCCAGCTCTCTTAAACCAGGAGAGCCCTCTGTGTTCTCTTGGAGGTTTTTTTTTTTTTTTTTCCCAAGTCTTTCCATTTTGTCCTGGAGACAATACTCCTGGCATGAGCAATGCCCATCAGTTATCAGTAATTTAGCAGATTGTGCCAGTGTTGACATTTGTTCTTGGCTTAATTGTGTGCAAGTGTGTGTTTTAAACAAAGCTGCAGCTGTCTCCCAGCCCAGCAATTAGGATATAAAAATCGCATTTGCTGAATCTGGCATGGCGATCCATTTTCCATGTGTTTACGCTTTTGTTTGCAAGGCCTTCTGAGTGTTTGCTGCAGCTCCACTCCTGGAATATAAATTTAGCTGCAAATGGAACCTCCCTGCTTTAGGGACAATGCCAGCAGGGGCTTTAGTCCTCTGAGTCTTAGGCCCCTAGGTCCCTGTCTCCATGCATGTAACGCATTTGTGGGTGGGAAGATCTTACGCTGATTTAACCTGAAGAAGGAGTTAAAACGCTAGCAGCCTAAGAATGGTGTCAGTTCTGGACTTCCGTTAATTATCTGCACAGCTGCCAGCTTCCCCGCTAGGCCTCAGGTCAGCATCACTCTCATGCCCTGCTCATCCCTGCATGTGCTCTGGCCATGTGGAGTGGAGAGCAAGTACTTTTGGAGCTGTTATCTGCCTCCCAACTATTTCATTTCTTTACTTACCCTGCTTTCTGCTGTTAGGTGAGCCAGTTAATATGGATGTCCACTAGGGTGGGATCTGATGCTTTAAGTGGGTCAGGAATGAGATTCCCATTAAAAAGTAATTACTCCTGTGGGAAAGTGCCTGATGGTAATGTGTATACCCCAACCCTACCATTTCACTCCTAGCTTCAGGAGTCCATCGGATACCCATGTATGTATTCACCAAAAGACATGTACTGGCACAAGACTCACGGCAGCAATGACCCACATGTCCATCAGCAGCAGAAGCAAGTAGTGAGCTGTACTGCAGTTTGCCCAAGGGTAGCAACACAGCAGTGAGACTCAAGGACTTACGCATTTATAGGGTATTCTTTTTCTACTGCTGTGAAACCTTAATGAGAACCAACTCAGAGCCCCCACCACAGTTAGGGGTTCACCATCATGATGGGTCTTCAGTCTGCAGCATACTCTAATTGGCTTCTCTGGTCAGGGTCCCCAAGGGCTGAAATCAAGGCATAGGTGGGTGGGGCTCAGAGCGCTCCTCAGCATTCATTGACAGAATTCAGGACGTCTCTTTTTGAGACCACAGGACTGAGATCCTCTCCCATGTCTTTGGTTGGCCATTAGCCAGGAGCCAATCTCAGCTCTGAGAGGCCATCTGTGGTCTTGGCTGTGTGGTCCTAGGGTCAAAGCCAACAATGAAGAATTTCCTACATATCTGTCCCTCTACCTCTGTTTTGCCAGGAAAAGCCCACTACCCTCCCTCTAAGGGCTCCTGCTCTCAGGCCCAGTGAGGACATTTTCCCAGTTCCAAGCCAACTGAGGTAGACTTAAATGCATTCACAGAAGCCCTTCTTGGCAGCACTTGAGACTAGTGTTCAACTAGCGAGGAGACGGGGTGAGGGATCGCTTACACAGGGTGGGGTGACGATCACTAAACCGTAATTTAGAATTCTGCCCATAGCACACACATACACTCACATGAATGAGTCTCACAACCAATGTGGAACCAAAGATGTAAAAAATGAAAGAATATACAAATGTATGGTTCTGTTGATTCAAAACAGAACAGGGGCAGAGAGTCCTGGCTACTCTGCTTCTGATCCAGCTCCCTGAAAATGTCTAAGTCATTGGGGACCCCTGCCCCTCAACATGGGTAACCTGGATGGAGTTCCTGGTCCCTGTCTTCAGCTTGGCCCAGCCCTGGATGTTGCAGGAATATGAAGAATAAATGAATGGATAAAAGATCTCTTTCTCTCTGTGTCTTTCAAGTACATGAGAAAAATCCAATTAGAAATGATACACAAGAGAAAGCACTGATTTTGGTGTTAGAAGCCTGAGCTGTGGTTACTCTGGAACACACACGAATGGAAAGGAGCACCAGGGTGGTGCCAGGAAGGTAGGGTGTGATATTTTTGTTTTCTGACCCACGTGCAGGATACATGGAAGTGTACTTCTTGTAAAAACTCACCCAGCTAGCTCTATGTTTGTGACTTCTGATCTTTTCTATTCTGGATGTTGCTTTTACCAGACTTTGCTGTGATTTAAACATTCTTTGGATACTTTGGGGTTATTATTTTAAAGCAGACTTGTTCCTTTTTTCGAAGGAAGCATGTGTCAGCAGATATATCTGAGTGGGCACCTAAGGGGTGCAGGAACAGAAAGGAGGCAATAGGGCACCCAGCCCCGTGAGGAGATGATGTACCTCAGAAGGTCTGCGCTTGAGCCCCTGATGGGTACAAATTTAGTACTCCATCAACTTGGGACCAGTGGATGGGACCTGCCGCATGATCCTTGTGACCCAGTATGAAGTCAGATGGAGGGCCCCTTGTTTCACAAGCTAAAGAGGTCAGGAGCATCCAGAGCGACGGTGGGGATGAGGGAGGACAACTGGGCAGGCCCCACTGCCTGTGTGTTTCGAAGAAAGAGCCAAGAAGGCCTCCTTGCTGGGTGATTTACTTTTGGCAATTAGTGCTTTGGTGTTTTGATGAGTTCACCCCAGAGACCAGGAGGCAAAAATTCATTAGTAAATGAAAGAAAGAACAAGAACTTTTTAATGTGTAAGATGACAGACACATGCAGAAGTTATGGTAATGATGGGTTCTCTTTGTGTTTGAGGTTTTTTGGTTGTTGTTAACACTTATTTAATTGAAAAACAAAGAGAGGGAGATATAGGGAGATATATATATATTTTTATCTAATGGTTTACTCCCCAAATGGCCTGAATAGCGGGGATGTGGTAAGCCCAAGCCAGCTCTCCCAAGTGGATGGCAAGAGTCCAGGCAGGTGGGTCACCTGCTGCTGCTTTTCCAGGCGCATTAGCTGATGCATAGGAGCTAGATGCTTGCGTTGCAGGCAGTGGCTTAACCAGTTGTGCGAAGATACTCACACATTTTCTTTAAATGTATTTGTTTCCATCTTATTTGAAAGGCAGAACGGGGTGTGTGTTTGGGGGGGGGAGTGGATTGGGAAGGGAGAGAAATTATTTTATCTGTTGGTTCGCCCACAAGTACTTACAGCAGCCAGGACTGGGCCCTGCGGTAATCAAGGAACATGGAACTCAATCCAGGTCTCCCACCTGAGAATCAGGGACCCAAGCACCTGAGTATTGCAGGGATGTAGTAGGTTGGGTTTGAAGCTGAACAGCCAGGACTCTGGTTAAGCACTCCAGTGTGGAGCATGGGCACCCCCAAACAATCATTTCACGCTCCTCTATGCCGTAAGCCTGCCCTTGAATTATTTCTTTATTGGTTAAAACGCCTACCTGTGACATTGAGGATACAACCAAAAACACTTGGGAGACAGCAGAGCCTACTTCGTCTTTGCCAGTCAAGACACATTCCAAAGTATGGGTGGAAGCCACCCAGGAGGTGTCCCATGTGTTCCCCGTCTTTCAAGTTCAAAAAGGAGCTAAGTGCCTAGAGCAGGTGCCACATTCCGGGCAGTGTTCACCAGCGTACCATCTGGTATCTGAGTTTCCATGTCAAGTTCTAAGTAGACTCCCTGACCTGATTCTGGGAGGGGTGGAGGGTCCTGACGGGTGGTGGGACGGCCTGGACTCCCATAGCCGCGGCGCTGTGGTGCACCCGCCGCCACAGCAGAGACCCCGCCGTGGTGGGAAGGCAGGGCCCTGCGGGGCTGGAGCTGCTGAGGATTTCGTAAGAAGCCGGACATTCACACCGCATCTCTGGGCGGGTCGTTATCCCTGGCGTGCTGTCTGGCGCTCAAACCTTTCCGGACGCGGCAGCTTGCTAAAGCTTTCAGGGACCCGGGCACCCCAAAGCTACCAGCAGCCTAAGAACTGCACCCAAACGATTCCAAGGATGAGTGGGACGTGGTCTCGGTGTCTTGGTGACAAGCCGGGCTTTGAGAAACCGCCGAGGGCTGCAATTGCACAGGGGGCAGAGGCCTGAGGGGGACGGGGGAAAGGAAGAGCCCTCGACTTTCTACATCCCCTCCCCAGGAGCTGGGCGAGCTGGGTGAGCTGGACGCCCAGGACGCGGGCGGGAGCGTTGTGCACTGTCCTTGAAGGGCAGCCGGGCTGACCTTGCGCCGTCTCCTCTGGAGCGATCTCCAGGAGCGCGCTGGGACGCGGCAGCGGCTGTGACTCAGTGCCCTGCGCACCGCATGCAAATGCTTCTCTGGCTCCGCAGCCGCGGCTTTCCCGTCCTGCCCTCGTTTTAATCCCACGATCCGAGCTCGGCGTTTTCCGTTCCCTCCCCACGACCAGCCAGACCCTAGTGGATTGTCCGGATGCTCTGTCGCCGACCTCCCATCCACAGAACCCAAGGCCGACCTCGGAGCTGCCTCTCTGCCCGTCAGGCGAGCGGACGCCCGCCGCCCGGGGAAGGCTCTGCGCGCTGGGCCACCGCGACCCGCAGCCGGGCCAAAGGGAGGCGGCGCACCGGGGCGCACCGGGGCGCACCGGCGCTCGGAGCCCGGCCCCGCTCCCCATTGGTCGCCGCTTCCGAGGGAGGGGCCGCCCCCGACTCCTGGCACCTGGCGTCGCTCTTCCGCGGGGAAACTGGCGGTCGCCCGGCAGCGGCGCGCACGGGCAAAGGCATCGGAAGGAAGGCCCGCGGCGGCGGCCGAGCTCCCTGAGGCCAGACCGGTCTTCTTCACAGCCTGGGAGCCAGCAACTTCCGGATAACCCAGACTCCGGCCGCAGCAGCCGGCAACTTTGCCCCCGCCAAGTCCTCTGTCGGCCTGACCCCGCGGAGAGGTGCCGGGCCCGCCGCCGCGCGCCCCTCTCTCCGGGGCCCGGAGCCCCACGCGCCATTGCCGGCCCACCTCGCACCCCGCTCCTGCGGCCCCCGGCCGCCAGGATGCGCTACGCAGACCCCTCAGCTAACCGGGATCTGTTGGGGAACCGAACTTTGCTCTTTATCTTCATTTGCGCCTTCGCTCTGGTGACCTTGCTGCAGCAGATCCTATACGGCAGGAACTACATCAAGAGGTAAGAAAGTCGGCAGGGGCTGCAGTGCGCCGAGCCAGGGACCACCGTGGCGGCCCCCCGTGACTCGCGGTCGGCTCAGCTGCCGCTGCCGCGGTGGGTTTGGGTCGCGGCGCGGCGGAAGCGCATCTCTTCCCCTGCCCCAGGACCGCGCCGGCTCCGTGCCAGCTGGGACCCTTCCTCCCCGCCCCCCCAAGTTTGTTTCTGCTGTGAAAAATGGGCTGGGGGCGGATTGGTAAATCAGGTGGCCAAACTGACGCTGAAGTCCTCGGGAGCGTCTGGAGCCGTCTCAGGGGTCAAAGTGGTGCGTCCCAGAGCTTTGGTTCACTGCCATTTGGTGGAAGCCCCAGGGTGGAAAGCGGGAGTTAGAACACAGATTGTGGTTTTTCAGTCGGCTGACTCTTAACATTCTGGATGGTCTCTTAGGTGGAGGCGGGAGTGTAGAATGGGATGGGGGTGGTAACGGACCCTGGCCATGCAGCAGGGCTGGGAAATCCTAACAATCCCGTGGCCTTACACCCCGACCCCTTCGGAAATATGATTTTCGTCCTCAGCGCGAAAGGTGGCAGTGGTCTTGTAACCTCTGTGCGTGGACAAAGCCTCGTTAGGAGAGAGATGCGGAAGGCGTCCCTTGGAACGCGGGCACGGGTCCCACGTTTGCCGGCTTCAGGAGGACCGACCCTTAGTTGCTCGGCCTGGTTTGGGGGCAGGAAGGGGAGGGGGGTTCGGCTCCAGGACCCTCTAGGAGGATTCTAGGAGTCTCCAGGAGACTCTAGGAAGCAGCCTCCATCACTCCCTATTCAACACCAGCGGTTTTTGTTTGTTTTTCCTTTGCTGCCCGGGGCTTTCTACTCTCACTGTCACTTTCCCCAGGTACAGGTGGGGGAGAAAAAAAAGGCCCTCAAGCTACCCAGGCATCTCATCTCCTTTAATCTTCCGGATAATAAAACAGGTGTTCTCTTTGTGCCCTTGGGGGATTCTAAATGGGTCACGTGTATTCCCAATCTGGGCTGCCCAGGAGGATAGGAGGCCAGGGCTTGCACCTGCTTCTCAGCCAGGTCAGCAGCAAAGTCGAGCTTGTAGCACGCTTCCCTTCCCTACACCTTCCCGAGAGCGGTCTCTGGCCCTTGTTTCCAGCCAGTCCCTGCTCTGGACGTTCCCAAACAGAGCCTCCTGTGACTGATGGCAAGGGCCGACTTCCGAACTGAATCTGATTTGGCCCACCTCTTCTTTCTTCTGGCTACTGCCTTTGGGAAATGATCCTGCTGGGACAAGGACAGCTGGGTTCCCAACCTGGCCTGCTGCGGTCCTGTAGCCCTTTGTCTAATGCTGTTTTGGCACTTACTCCTCAGCAGAGCGGTTCTGGGATCCTGCCCCCTGCTGGTGCCTCCCTCTAATTTCTGGGGGCAGCTAGGAGTCCTTCTGTCTTGGCAGCAGGGGCTTAGTATCCGTTTCCATGGCAGATGTCAGTCCAGCTACTAGCTGTTTGTTCTGGCAAGCCCTGCCTACTCACGGAGGATGGGCTGGCCACCCCGAGTTCAGCAGGTGCATCAGTTGCCTTCCATCCTCACCCAGAGGCCTGGACTTTTTAAATCCCACAGTTGCCACCTTATCGGCCTCACTTCAGGACTTTGTTAATCCAATCAAGCCAGATAACTGCTTAAGCTGATCTTGGAAGGATGCAAAGCTTTTGTATGCCCCCTCCTGGAAGAGTTCCTTGCAGGGATGGGAAGGGGCGGAGATGTGGGTGGCTGGAGGGTGAAGCTCAAGGTTCATTTCAGGAAACAAATGGCTACAGATGAGATAGGAATTAAGTATTAAGCTCCCTGAGAAGATGGGAATTTATGGGCTAGAGTAGTCAGGAAAGGCTGCCTGGAGGAGGCTGACCTTGAAGGATGAGTGAGGTTTGGATAGAGGGGAGGAAATACACATACAGAAATGAAGAGGGTAGGAGAAGAGGTACAAAGATGTTAGTGGCACCATCTCCTCTCAGCCCTCCCACACCTGTCCCTGCCTGTGTTGCTGTACTCGGCTTCGTCGTTGCTTTCTCTGATCCTATCCTGGGTTGTGGCTGCCACATCAGTTTCACCAGCGGCACCTGCTCATGTATCTTGTTATGCATGCCATGCTTGCGAAGAACTGACTTGATGTGATTGTAGATTTGCCACCTGTCTGGAAACACCTGCTGTCCAGTATTCTTCAGGCACAGGTCCTGACACAGTCAGCCGCAGAATCTCCAAGAGGCCTGTGGAGGGCAGATTCCCGGGCACCTGACTCGGATGCTCTGGCATGAGATCTGGACCTGGCCCTCCCTGCCAGGTGCCCATGCTATCCTGCCCCGCAGCTGCTGCAGACCAGGGAACTCCATGGAGGGCACTTTAGCTTCAAGTAATGCGCTGAGATCCTGGGGGAAGGCGGCTGCTGCTGAGAGGCCAAAGATGCTAGAAGACCCATGGAGCCTCATGTGTCCCCCATTCAGTGGGCAAGAAGCTTTTCCCGCAGGGAAAACCTCATGAGGCAGGGATTCAGCTGTCCAACATGTCATAAGATACCATTAAATGTTAGATAATGAGCTAGTGATGGAAGGTGGAGGTTTTGTGTGTGTGTCCAGGAAAAGGAACTGGGAGAGATCTGATGAAGAGGTGAATCCAGTGGGGGCAAGAGACAGGTATAAGTGGGTCAGTAGCTTCAATGAAATGCTCTGGGGACTGAGAAGGACACTTTAAATTTGGACAGTTTTTCACTTGGATAACGACATGATAAAACATCAGGAAGGAAGATTGGGCCTTGTCCAGGAAGGGATAAAGAACAGGAGGTCAGAAGTAAGGAGAGGTGCCTGCCTTATGGTGCACAGGCTTAGGTGATGCTGGCATCCTACATCAGAATACCCTTTCAAGCTCCAGCTGCTTTGCTTCCCATCTGGCTTCCTGCTAATGCTCTCAAGCAGTAGAAGATGCTTGCTCCCCTGCCATTCACATGAGAGATCAGAATGGGTTCCAGAAATCTGGTTTCTGCCTGGCTCAGAACTGGCTGTTGTGGCCTTTGGGGAGTGAACAAATGCATAGAAGATGCCCACAGTTCCTTATCTTGTTTGTGTGTAACTCCTCCTTTCAAATACATCTTTAAAATAATGGAGAAAAACATGGCAAGGGACGGATCTTGTTTGGAGCTATGAAATCCCTGAAGGCTGTCTCTCTGTTTCTGTGCTGAGTTGGTGCAGTGCTACCTTACAAAGACCTTGGGGATGCAAATATGGTAGGCTCATTCAGGGAGAACACAGGGACAGATAGCACCCCATGCATTTATTTCTCTGGACTGAGTGAATCTAGAAAAAGCATGCTCAGTGTTTATTCGAAGGAAAAAGGAAGAAATCAGACTTCGAGGTTTGGTCTTGATGTTCTTGGCATCTCTGGTCTGCTATTGATAGAACAAATATTTAATGGAGATTTACTATTTGCTGAACCTAGAGCTGAGGATGCAGCGGGATGTAAGGCAGACATAGCCCATGGTGTGGGTGTGTAGGGCGCTGGTGACTCTTAGGCTCTTAGAAGGGCTGAAAGAGACATGACTCATTTCTGGTATGCCCAGAGCAATGGACCCAGGACTGTTGTGATGATGATGAGAGAACCAAAGCAAATCAGAGTGCTTCAAGAGCGCATAAGGCTCATTTGAAAGGGATCTCAAGGAAGACATGATATTGCGCACTGGTAGGAGGGGAAGCAGCCCAGTTGTGGGGAAGCATTGAGTGATGCTGTGCAACTCAAGTTAGAGCTGTCTGTTTTGGGTCGGAGGCAGATGCAGCAGGCTCTGGTTATGGAGAGCAAGGTGTGTAGCAGAGAGGGAGTGTTGAGGGATGTGGATAACAAATTTAAGTGTGGAAGCAGTCCTTGTGGGCCTGTCCTGCAAGTATTTGGTTGTTGTTTTGTTTAAAGATATATTTATTTGAAAGATAAAGAGAGAGAAAGAGAGAGAGAAATGAACATGAGCAGGTGTTCACTTCTATGTGCTGGCCTAATCCCTGTATGTCTGCAATGACCAGTTTGGGCCAGCCAAAGCCGGGAGCCTGGAATTCCATCCAGGTCTTCCTTGAGGGTGGTAGGGCCTCAGGTACTTGGGCTGTCTTCTGCTGCCTCATGACACATTAATAGGGAGCTGGGTTGGAGGCAGAGCAACCAAAACTTGAGCTGGCACTCGTATAGGATGCTGATGTTGCAGGTGATGGCTTAACCAGCTCTGCCATTGTGCTGGCACTTCAGGCAGCGCTTTTTTTTTTTTAAAAAAAGATTTATTTACTTTTATTGGAAAGGCAAATTTACACAGAGGAGAGACAGAGAGAAAGATACTCCCTGAATTGCCACAATTGCTGGAGCTGAGCTGATCCAAAGCCAGAGAGCTTCTTTTGGGTCTCCTAAGTGGGTTTAGGGGCCTGAGCACTTGAGTTATACTCTGCTGCTTCCCCAGGGCATAAACAGGGAGCTGAATGGGAGCTAGAGCAGCTAGGACATGAACTGGTGCTCATATGGCATGCTGGGACCACAGGTGGAGGCTTAGTCAATTGAGTCATTGTACTGGCCCTCAAACAATTCTTTAGAAGTAAGTTCTGGCACTGCAGATGGAGAAGAGCCAGGCTAGCAGTGTGGACTTGAGTCTCAACCATCAAAATCAGTGTTGTTCAAGCTTACCTGCTTGTGATGCACAGTGAACGATGTGTTATTGTAACCCAGAGCATACTCATGTGGGCAGCCAATGGAAACCTTTTGTGAAATGAGCCTGGGCCTTGTTATGAAAAATGCAATGTAATGTTTTCTATTGTATTGTGTTAAAATTATTCTACTTCCTTTAAAAGATACAGTGAGATGTTATTTAGCCTTGGAAAGGAAGGTAAATCTGACATGTGCTACAATATGGATGAATCTTTAGAAAATGCTAGTATAATAAATAAGACAAACACAAAAAAAATCTACTGTCTGATTCCATTTAATATGCAGGATCCAGAGTGGTTA